TACTTTATATTTTAAGTAAGTTTCCGAAATCTATTTTTTATTTAAAATAAGAAATGGTTTTCGAAAACTTATTTTTAAAAAAGACAAGTTATTTTTATTTTTATATTTTAAATAAAAGTTCTATATTTTAAATAAATAAATGCATATTCACACCTTATTTCTTATTTTATATTTTAAATAATTTCTTGTGACCTATTCCTTATTTAATATTTTAAATAAGTTTTTGAAACCTATTTTACATTTTTTACTTCAAATAAATCGTATCAGTTATTTTACTGAATCCTGTTTTTAAAGCATTTCTAATGAAATCTCATATAATATTTTTTCTTTTTTCCATTGCATTTATGTAATATGCTTCCGCAATTAATTGTCTGTTAAATAATATTAAGTTATTCAGAAAATTAATTTCAAATTTTGTTAATTTAAAATTATATATAGAATATATTTATTGTGAAATTTTCGACTATCTCTCGTGAAAACTCGAAGTTTTCTTTAAAAATTCATTTTAAAAAAGTGTCAATTTTTTGTTCTGAATTACTCGCGAATTAAGTAAAAAGGAACATTCCGAACTCATAACTGCGTCACAAATTATCGTACCGCAATTAAAGATACAGATTTCTAATGCTAAAATTTTCCTCTATCGAATGATAATTGCCAATTTTATTAAAAAGATAGAATATGTATAAATTTGAGTTAAAAATATGACTGTATTTTCATTGTAATCATTGCGCAATAGTTATAGAAGGAAAGTAATATTATATTTTTTAGCTCAAATGCATACATATTCTATTTTTCAAAAAAATTGACATTTATATATATATATATATATATATATATATATTTACGAGGGCTGTTTGATAAATACCCGTGTTTGATGATTGAGGGCGCCTCTGACTAAAAGTCTGTATGTCATCGTGTAACGCCATTTTTTGAACGACGCAAGTAAAAATTTCAGACAGCTGTACCGGTTAGTTTAGTTTTTATAACAATTGAAAGTTGACGAAAGTTTGTGCTTGTTTGCAATCATAGAGAAAGAGCAATATCGGTCTGTGATTCGATTCCTGTTTTTAGACGGGAAGACGTGTAAAGAAATCAAAGAAAAGTTGCATGTCGTATATAAGGACAACGCACCTTCGATGACTACCATAAGATATTGTACAACAAATTTAAGCATGGCTGAACATCCATTTTTGAAGAGCGCCCAGATTGTCCGATTGAAGTGACTATGGAGGATATGGTCAACAAAATCCATGATATCGTGTTAACAGACCGCCGGGTGAAGATCAGAGAGATTGCTAACATTGTAAAGATCTCAATGCATACAAAATGTCCTACACGAAACATTGAGCATGAAAAAGCTATCGGCGAGATGGGTGCCGCGTTTGCTCACAGTGGAACAAAAACAGAATCGCATGACAACTTCAAAGCACTGTTTGGACATGTTTAAGCGCAATCCGAAAGAGTTTCTGCGGCGTTTCGTCACTGTTGACGAAACATGGATCCACCATTACACACCAGAAACGAAAGAACAATCTAAACAGTGGATTAAATCCGGCGAATCTGCTCCAAAGAAGGCAAAAACAATTCTATCGGCCGGAAAGATCATGGCCATCGTTTTTTGAGATTCGCGAGGCATCATTTTCACCAACTATTTGGAGAAGGGAAGGACAATCACGGGACAGTACTATGCTGATTTATTGGATCGATTCGACGCTGAAGAAAAAACGGCCTCATTTAGCGAAAAAAAAGTGCTCTTTCATCATGATAACGCGTCATTCGTCTGCAATCGCCATGGCAAAACTGGTCGAATTACGCTACGAATTGTTGTCTCATCCACCCTATTCTCCAGATTCCCCTGTGATTTCTATTTATTTCCAAACATGAAAAAATGGCGGAAAGCGCTTTGCCTCAAATGAGGAAGTCATCGCTGAAACAGAGGCCTATTTTAAGTAGTTCGACCAATCATATTTTTTAAACGATATAAAAATGTTGGAATATCGCTGGGCTAAATCCAGCTGAAGGGAGATTATGTAGAGAAATAAAAAAAAATTTTTTTTAAAAGTGTTTTCTTCCCTAACACAGGTATTTATCAAACAGCCCTCGTATATATATATATATATA